TTTATTTATTATACATATTTTAATATTGTCAACGTTCATAAGTAAATGATGAATATCCAATATGTACACAATCGACTCAATCAGTAAAAATTGAGATTTCGTAAATTTTAAAATTTGCCGCAGCTTATTTCAAACTTTAATGAAATTTTATAATCAAACCACTTTTCGTTGATCTATATAACATTGTAGGATGTTCTGGATGTTTATTAATGCCATAAACTCTATCACAATATAAAAATCCATAAAAATCGTCAAAACAATTAATAATTTAGTAATTACCAAGATCTTTACAAAAAATTAATCAGCACGACTTTTAATTGATATATTTCTTGTATTAACTTCCCGTAGGGTAAGTTATTGTAATCGTCCAAAAATCTAAATTGAAAATTTTTACATTTCTACACGTTTTGAACGTTTCTGAACATTTTGGCATACCTCAGAAAAAATGAATGTGTGTGTATATGTATGTACGGATACAATTTTTCGGTCACGTTTCCGGGCGCACGAATCAACCGGTTTGAATGGTTCAAAAAACATTCGATTCCTATTGATAGGGAGATGTGCTGATTAGTTTTTGGCAAAGGCAGGTCCAGCCGTTACGGAGATACGGAGCAAAGAGTGCAAAAATTACAAATCGAGTTTTTGAGAGAAAAGAGTATCCGATTTAAATGATCTAAAAAACGTTCAATTTGTAACGGTTGGGAGAAAAGGTGATTAGTTTTTGGGAAAGGCAGGTCCAGCCATTTTGAAAATACAGAGCTCCAGCAATTTGCCTTAAAGCGCGATGCCATACACCGCTTGTTTATTTTTGTCTTGTAAGGAAATAGCGTGGCCTATTGTTTCACCAGCCTAACAAACGCGATACGATATACCGAAATAATTATTACATGAGTCATAAAATATCTGATATAAAAAATGATCATATATATTCCACCAATATCAAAAATACACATTATACTTTGTACAAAAAATAAATATTTATTCAGTAATAATTAAATAATAATTAAATTTCAAAAGAATCATAATCATTGGGGGTGGGGTCAGAAGTGTGTTTCAATACACTAAACCATCGATTGAAGTCTAGTCTTAATAATAATTGAGATAGATGAGTTCCACAAGGTTGTGATTTCAGTGCTGACAGAAGTTTCAGAAGAGCAGCCATTAGAATTGCAAAGCTGAAAGATAGAAAGTACTCAAGTTAGATTGATTAAAATTTTTCTAGTTTAATTTTATATCAAGGTCAAAGAGGATTTTAATAGATATGTGTACAAAAAAATTATATATACCAAGTATTAATATTTTCGAGATCCTTTAAATCTGATTCATCCATTATTCCCTTTGCACTCCACTTTGGAGCCTCCATGCAGAAGCGATTGCAAGATTCAAAAACTTTATTCATTATTTGATGGACCTATAAAATCAAATTCTATTATAATTTTATCTTCATTCAGAATTATTATCCTACATACTAATATTTATTGAAATTCAATAGTGTTATGTAATAGATAGATAATTATTAGATTTATATATCATAAGCAGAGCCAGAACTCATTTTTTTATAAATACATGCATTTTCAAATCAAATAAATATTATGATAATATGACTATTAAAAATCAAATACTTATAAATCAATATAACACAGGAATTAGATTTAAAACTTACTGGATTGTCTACTTCGGTGTCAGTTTCATCTGTTGTAGATGGTCCTATGATCTGTGTGAAATAATAATAATATAAGTTTTTTTTATTTTTCATTCAAGTTTCAAATTGGTGAAACAACAATTGTAATTTTAAAATACATTTTAATTAAAAACTTTTTTTTGAATATTCATCTGTATTGAATTTTCTGATATTATAGGTAATATATGGTTAAATTTTATGTCTATTTATTGAACGCACCGATGATCCTATGAGAAGAAAGCACTGGCTCATAACATTACTCTGGAATATTGAATGAGCCCGTTGAATAGCATCAAAATCTCTTGTATTTTTAATAGTATTTAGTAAAATACTCATTTGACTTTCAACAACATCTACATGCAAATAATATTGAAGATGTTCAATCAAAAATATTAATTGGTGCCTTAGTTGCCAAACTTTTGGATTACTGAAATAACAATATTTTTAATTTGTTATTGATTTTAAATAAAACAATAAAAAATCATCTAGTCAGACCTATATAAGTGTGATTCACTTCTTTGTCCAATCCAGACATGATGCAACTCATACTGCGTTTTTTTCACTTTCAATAAAAATCTAAAAATAATATTATATCTATCCATAACAGCTGGTGTGAATAATAAATGTAAAGGCCATTTCACTTTATATTCTAGTGATAATGTGGACCATCCATCAATCACATCATTTGGAAGAATTGGCAAATAATTGTGTTCTAATGTTGAATCTTCTTGCTTTTCAAACGATAAAATAAATCGAAATAAATCAACTTCATCACCTAATGATCAATGTTGAATAAATAATTATCATATAACTAAATTACATAGCAAATATGCTTAAATATATATGAAATACTTACGAGAATATCTCTACTTACCTATAAACATATTTCTGGCGGCTAAAATAAATGTGACATTGATATCTCTAGTACCAGTAGGATTTTTCCAAGGAAATTCATTTAAAATTTTTGTGCCCAACTTTATGAATTCAAGAAATAATTCTCCCCTTCCAAGAAAATAATAATTCTTTATATAAGTGAGATGTTTTAATAAATCTGCATCTTCCACCACAAGTTGAAATAAATGCTGCAAAAATAAATACACAATGGATAAATTCTACATGTTTTTTTTATAAAATCATTATACATGTAGTACAATTGTATATTAAGTACTTCACCTGTGATACAAAAGTTTTTATTTCAATAATAGTGCTTTCCAAAGTAGAAATATTAAAATCATTCCTTTCTTGTATCGAAGCTAATTTTTTATAATAATTCTTTTCAAGGTCTCCCCAAACATTTGTTTTATCTTGTCTAGGATCTGATTTAAACATTGATATAGTACGCCCTATAAATAATATATTAGCTGCTAAACTTTCAGGCATATACTTTGGAAGCATTCTTGTATTTATTTGATATTCTGAGTTTTGAGTTTCTAATGAATTTGTATTTTCCTGCAAACAATTATAATAATAAAAACATAACATTGAAAAATGGTCAAAATAAATATCTACTCACAAAAAGTGTTGTCTCTGAACTATCATCTAAATTCGGTCGAATGAGGGAAACCTCCATTAAATTTACTTTTTCTATAAAAAATTCTTTGTATGTATCATTTAATTCACCATTAAATAACCAATATGCTAAAAGCTTGTATAAAATCTTCTGCACTTCTTGAAAAACTCTAAAAGATATTCATATTATATTTCAATACAAAAATTAAATATGCAACATGTATTACTCACATTCTAACTGCTCTTCCTTCAATTTCAGATCCTGTTAAAAGTTCACAATAAACTAAATGCAAAATTTGGCATCCATGAAGTCGCTTTTCATAAATACTTGATACAATATAATTCAAAATATGAAGCAGTTCTTTATATGGACTCATCTATGTAAATATTTGATGAATAAAGTTAATTGTTTTAGGTGTTCACAAACATTAGTGAATAAAAGAGTTCATTAATGGAGAACAAATGTTCAACTAATAACCTTAGATAAAACCATCAGAAGGGTCATTTTTGGGTTCATTAAAGCATGTTTTTCCAATTCTACAACTTCTTGGCGATAAGGAGCTAATGCCAAATCCACTCCTCTGCATATAGCTTGTAAAAATAGTCCTTTAGGTAGTTCAAACTCTGAATTATCTGTTTTATTAAAATAGTGAATATCAAAGATTCATTTATTATGAATAGTGAATGTATTTGTTGCAAACAAAATCAAAACTAAATGATTATTAAAAAGAGTGCAACATTAACCAATTCTTATCTTTATCATACTCATCAATATCAAGTAAGTAATTAAAACATGATATTAACTTTCATTTTCTGCTCTATATTGATATTTCCGACAAAACTCATAAAGTAGTGAGTGTTCAGCTGCTATTTTCATTATTTCTTTGTATATATGAAGCTCACACGGATGTAGAAATTCATTTTCATGATTATTCTGTAAAATAAAAAATTTGCTTAGTAGCCAATCATAATGTAAAAATTCAATTATATCAATTGAGCACTTGCCAGCATTGAAATAACATCTAAACTATTTTTATTATAGGTCATTAATTGCACTAAAACCTCGTGCAACATTTTGGACTAATATATTTAAACTAAATGAACGTTAAATAGAATAAAAAGTATTTGATATCTACTTGAAGTACATATTTGACAAATATGATTAAAACTGAATAGGTATACTGTTTAAATAAAAAGGTAAAATTAGATTTATCGATTTTGTAACACTAAAACTTAGATTTGTTTGTTGTAAAACTAACGATGTTTTCTCTAAACAAAAATAACTGCGAAATGTCAATTTGACAAATGTATTCGTGATACACAGATTGACAGATCTGAAGATGCGCAATACGAAAGTGCAACCAACCGTAACTATGAAAAATTTAACAAAGTGTTTCTATTTACTAAAAACTCATTTGCTTTAGCCTTTAAAAGCCTATGATTTTTCATGAATATTTCTGAATACAAATTATTTATTATTATATAAATATTCGTATTTATATTCGATAGATAACAATTTTCTTAAACAAAACATTTCAAGTAAATTGTTATACACCCCTGCTTTAGTTGGTTGATGAGCTATACAAAAAGTGACGTTTGTATCTAAAAATTAACCTGGCGTTGATATAATTCCTCAGCCAAATATATGTTATGCAATTTTTTGGTGAAAAAGTGGTTGTTTTTGTAAACAGTTATAAAAAAATACTACGATAAATAATAATTATTAAAGAATTAGCTAGTTTTTGTAAATTCTCTGTATTGTGTTGAATTGTCTTATTAATAAAAGTTATTTATTTAAACAATTTTATCTAACAGCTGTTAACATTACATTTCCAAAGTATTTAATTAAACAAACTGATACAATGTCTTTAAATACATACAGTTCATTATATTTTTTCAACGGTATTCAATAACCAGGTATGATATAATTTAAAAATCATTAATAAAGTTTGTTTTATATTCATTTTTTGTTTGTTACAGGTGAAATACTTTGCAATTATGGCTGGATTATAAATAAGAGGTGCCCTAAATGGGCACCCATTATCTTTATGTAGTGTAGGTTTAATTTAAATATTTAGTAGACTTCAAATTATTTATGAAAAAGGTAAAAGTTAATACTTATATCATCTATTAAAGCTTGATATTTTATCAATAGCAGAATTAATATGAGAATGTGCCAAATAGGTTTCCTGTTATATGCTAACAATTAAAACTCACACTAAGACCTTATATTTTGTCACTGATATTGATACTGCAGTTGAAAATGGCAGTTACAAAGGGTATAATTAATAATTTGGAGCATGATTGCACTTTATTGTGTAGATCAACTGATCATGGATGCCAAATAACAAGTGCACTCACAAAACGTGCAGTAACAGATGAACAGTTGGGTGCTTACCTGAACTGGATGTGTACCAATTGCGGAGAAGTGAACGACACAGAAGTAACAATTTTGAAACTTTCTTATGAATAACAATAACTTGTGTTTGTGAAACTCTTAATTTTACTTATCAGGGGAGAACTGCCTTACATTTGGTTGCATCTTGTGGTCGGTTGAAGCTAATGAAATATTTAGTACATGTGCATGGTGCAAATTTGAACTTTGCCGACAAAGAATCTGGCTGCACAGCTTTACACCGTGCTGTATTCTATGGACAAATTCATATAGCAGTGAATTTATTGAAACTAGGTGCTGAACTTAATATATATGACAATGGTCATTTAACTGCTATTGATTATGCTATCAGAGATAGGTAGGATGTCTTATTAAAGTTTTAAATATGTTTAAACAAATAATTCGATTCATATTAAGAATATCGTAGATATCCTCCACAAAATTTAAAAGTTATAAACTCAGGTGAAGTTTATACTTGGGGCTCAAATGAAAATTACACACTTGGAATTGGAAATCAACAATCGCGTAGTTATCCAGATTTATTAGACATCTTTCGAAAAGAAAATATTTCCATAAAACAAGTAAGTTAAGGCATTATCCCATATCTTATAACTGTTAATTTCATTGGAATCAGATAATAATAAGAAATAATAAGTTATAAGTAATAACCTTAGTTTTTGTATTAAAGATATCTCTTAATAAATTTCACACAATATTTTTGACTAATACTGGGCGAGTATACACATGTGGGCATGGTCAAGGTGGAAGACTTGGAAATGGTTCAGAAAATACTGTCTTATATCCTCGATTGATAAACTTTATAGCGTCAGGTATTGCACAAGAACCATGCGTAAGCATTAGCGCTGGCCGTGATCATAGTTTATTTGCAATGGAATCAGGAATGGTAATTGAATATTAAATTATTATATATTACATTAATGTATCACATATTATAAAGGGTATTATTTTTAGGTATGGTCTTGTGGTTTAAATACATATTCTCAGCTTGGTCTTGTGGATTCTCCCAAAATGATACTTTCACCAAAACATATAAAGGGAAAATTATCTTCTGTTCAAAATGTATGTGCCGCTAGATTTCATTCAGTGGCTTGGGGACCAAAAGCTGTTTTCACTTGGGGCTTAAATGCAGGACAACTTGGACATGATAAAACGATGGAAGAATATATCAATGTGCCAAGAAAGGTATTACTATTTAATATATGGTTACATTATCACTGCATCATTAATAAATGATAATAAAATAATTAAGCTTTTCACAGAAACATTTTGATCACCTATTTTAATCTTTAATTGAAAATTTATATCCTAAGGTAATGGGGCTAGGAGCTGCTGAAATAACATCAGTTGCTACTAGTGACGGGGCTACAGTTATTGTCACTTCAACAGGACATATTTATGTTCTACATGAGTTTCAATGCCGAAAAATAGGCTCAAAGTAAGAGTTAGCATAATTTTTTCTATAGCAGCATATATAAATATACATATTTATATACATTTGTTGATAGTGTATATATGTATTTTTCTCATTTTAATTTTTGTGTATTTGCCTTTTAGAAGAAATGATATTGCATCCATATCAGTTATTGGGGGACATTTAAGCCCAAGTCATGCTTTATCTCATACTTTAAAAGAAAAAGGTGGAGATCATCTGCGAATATTGGTTTTGACATCAGATGGTTTATTATTTGTGTGGACTGAATCTACTCCACAATTAGTAAGGTAGTAATTTTATCCTAAAAAAATAAACTTTTTTGATCATAATATTAATGTAATATATTATTCAAGATGCATTTATTCTCTCAAGAGGCCCTTGTCTATAAGATCTTTATGTGTGAGTTTGCATCATGTTTACTTAATAACAGACCTAGGGGAAGCTTTTAAAGGTGAATTTAAACCTTCCAAGTCCAAAAAAGATAGTTCTTCTGGTAATAATACAGATGCACGACAGTCTTCTTTCACTAAGTTTTTGAACAAACATGAATGTGCCATTATTAAAGTTCAAAGAATTCCTAATATATATAGAGCTGTGTCGGTGGTTTGTGATATTAAAGGAAGAAATTGTGCAATCGTACAGGTGAGTATAATTTTATTAGTAGTATCTAAAATATTGATTTAAATTTAAAGATTTAAATCATTTCAAGAAAACAACTCATAAATAATCGAAATTATAATGAGAAATTATTCCTGAATTAATTCATAAGTACTACTAAATGAAAATAATTTACTAATGGCAAATTTACAATTTTTATCATTAATTGCTATAATGTTTTAATAGGCAAATCCTGTGATTGAAACATCTTATGTTTCACATATATCTAATTCTGTTTTGCAATCACAAATGCTTGATTTACTAGAAAATGCATCACAAGAGGATTCTTTGCATGATGTTGCATTCAAGGTACTGATATTATATGATTCACAATTAATTAAAAATAAATTGTTTTAAATTATTCAAAATAATTTCTAGGTGGGAGATACTATTTTTCCTGCTCACAAATATATAGTTTTTGATAGTGATAAAATTAAGAAAATGTGCGAAAACTCTAAGAATTCTAGTATTATTGAAATTAATGATATAGCACCACTTATGTTCAAACAACTTTTGACTTTTTTGTACACTGGAACTTGTGATTTATTAAAAATTGGACCATGCCATATTAACTTTGGAGCTTGCAACAGTGGAACTGTTTCCCCGGAAATTAATCTAGATGTATATGACGATTTAAATGCAGAATATGGTATATAACTTTTTAATTATTTTTATAACCATAAAATATAAATAATTTTTTATTTTAGTGTTTGTAAAGAGCAAAAATGAAAAAAATAAGTCAAAGTCTAAAATAAAAAATGAGAAATGTGACTTTGATGTCAAAAAAGACCCAATAAGACAATTGCAATATTATGCCAAGCAGTTTGGACTTTTTGATTTATATTCCATATTATCAAATTATAGGTATGTTTATCAAACAGTAATTAATAATTAGAATTACTTATAATTTCTCTGAAATATTTCTTATACTTTTCAGATTTGATAATGGCTATATTTGTTATTCGGGCAAAAATAATAATAAAACTTTTATTAAACAGTTTTCTCGTTCAATACATCCAGAATTGTTTGATGTTACCATTAAATCAACATCTGGAAATGATACTATTTCAATTAAAGCACATCGTTGTATTTTAGTTGCAAGACTAGAATATTTTTATGGAATGTTTATGCATGAGTGGCAGGAGGTAAGGAAAAGTAATAATAAATTAATATAAAATTAATGATTTAATTAATGACCTTGTGAATATTTCAGAATAAGTCAAATAACATTATTAAACTTCCATTCCCTCAAAATATACTGGAGATTGTGATAGATTTCTTATACTCTGATGACTGGTGCGATAAAGACACATGTAATGACATAGATTTTATATGTCAACTATTAATTGTTGCTGATCAATTGTTTATAACTCGTCTTCGAGAGATGTGCGAAGCTGTTTTAGCAAAGCATATAACAATAAAAAATGTTGCAACATTTCTTCAGTTTGCTACTGTATACAATGCAACGAAACTTCATATGTGCTGTGTTAAATATGTGTGTTTAAACCTAGCTCCATTACTTGAAAATCGATACTTGGAAGTTCTACCTGATGAGATATTATTTGAGCTCACCAAGAAATATTTGTGCTTCAATAAGTATATGTCGACAAGAGTATTAACACCTTATTCTAATGCACCAAGTGATGAAGTGATAAATGAAATTTATGAAAAATTTTATATTGATGTAAATGATTTATCAGAGAGTAATAAAAAGAAACAAACTCCGAGAAAGAAAAATTTGCCAAAAAGAATTTCTGAGTCAGATAGAGGTCGTATGCGTAATGAAAGCATTTCTGAAAATTTGAGTGAAAGCCCAAAAGTGACAAATGGACATATAATTGAGAGCCCTAAATGTAACAATACAAAGATGAGCAATAGCTCTAAAGCAAGTAAAGAACACCCAAATGTAACCAATGTTTTGTTAACTACTAAGGTAGATAATAAAATTTTGAATAAAGCCATAATAGACGAGAAAGCTATTGATAAATATACTAAGGAAATAACTGCAGTACAATCTCGATTGAGAGCAATAGCACTAGCACATGAAATAGTTGATAATGAAGAAATGAATTATTCAGAAGACCATAAATATAATGATACAAATTTTCCTGTTTTAGGAAAAAAATCTATAGAAAAGGAACAAATTCCTAATGCTAAAAATACTTTAGAGCAAACAGAACATCCAAAGAAGTCTCCTTATGCAAAAATTTCACAGAAACAACGAAAGAAACAAATTGCTCTATCTGTTACTGATAATATAAAGTCTGAATCCCATATTCCATCATCTGCCTGGGATATCAAAGATGTGACCAGCTATAGTTTTGCAAATATTTTAAAGAATGAACAAAATAGCCCAACAAAAAATGATGTTTTACAAAATTTGTCTATAAATAATTGCATCATGTCGCCTAGTAATAATCTGAATATGAGCCCTGTTGGAAGTCCTAAAAGTTCAAGATTATTGTCTTGTAATGAACCAGATATAGTTTTCTCTTCCATCCTCGCTGATGAACGCCAACAGCGGGAAAATTATTCTAAAATGAAATCCAAGCCTCTTGTTTTGACACAAATTGAAGATAGAGCAATTGAAGATTTAGAAAAGTTTTACAATGTTGATGAAATACAAGATGAACTGATTACCATAGCCAGAGTATGTATGGTATATTCTAGCCCTTTGTGGGTTCAAAAATAAATAACTAATCACTTATTTAATAAGTGAACTAAAAATTATGTTAATAAAAATTAATATAAAACAGAAAAAAACCTCAAAATATATTTATTTTATTAAAGTTTAATCTTTTCTTGATTACTACAGGTAATGCGATTAATATATATTGATTATTTTTGTAATAGAGATTTTTTATCTCAATATGACTTTCTTTCTTTTGTCATTAAGTTTATAGTTGCCCTGGTGCAAGTTTACTTTTTACAGCATTTCCAAAAACTTCTGCTCCAGCTTTATTTTCTTCATAGCCAGGCACCACTTCTTTACAACGTGCTTCCCAAGAGACAACATGAGGGAATTTGGAAATATCGAAACCAACAGCCTATTAATTTTAAATAGGAAATTAACAAAGATAAATAATATTATTGATCAAGTAAGATAAGAAAATTTTACTTGTATGCTAGAAACAGAAGCCAGAATGGCATTATCTGCTACGGTAAAGTTGTCTCCAGCTACCCACTTTGTTTTGGCAAGAAAACCATCTAGATAACCAAATGCTTCATTTAGTTGGTCTTTTTTGTCTTGTGAAATCGTAGTTTCTCCCAAAAATAGAATAGGAAACTGAGACGAAGGATAGAATAGAATATAACTATATGATTGATACACATAACACTTTATTGATAGATTTACAGGCAATTGTTTTTTATACTTACGCAAATGGCTCGAATTCTAGGAAATAAAACTCCAGCATCAAAGTATAATCTCTGATCAACAACTGCTTTTTCTTTAGCAGCTTGAGGATACAAGGAACTGTATTTTTCACCCCCATAAGCCTGGACCAAGTAAGTAGCTATAGCCCGACTTTCCCAAAGAACAAAACCATTGTCATCTAATGTTGGAACACAATGTTGTGGGTTAATCTAAAAAAAGAAAATATTTGCAAAGTTTGAAACAAATGTGGTAAAAAATATAATTAGGTAAGTATAGAATTCAGATTTATTAGCAAATTTACCTTCAAAAATTCTGGTTTAAATTGCTCTTTAGCAAACAGATTTACTTCTTTTATATCAACCTTAAGATTTAGTGCTCTAATAGTTAACAGCGCTGCTCGTGACGGAAAACTTGGTGCAAAATGATATAAGGTCAAAGAACTCATTTTTGCTAAAATTAAATTAAACTAAACAATAATTTTTAAACAATTTACTGGTAACGCTAAAAACGTATTACTACTTGTACGGGCGTGTCGGCAAACGTATTCCGGCAATTCTTGTTTGACTGGTTTTGTAATGGGGTTTTAAATTGATAGGAATTTTAATGATCGTTATCAAGATTATGCAATATCAACTTAACCTACATTATATTTTTCAAAAAATAGATTATCATGTGAAATTGATGGCCAAAGTATGTTTGGTGTATTTTATCCCTTCGACACTTTTATGGGTTCAAATAAATAGCAACACATTTTTCTTAAGTGAAATAAAAAACATTTATATAAGAAAGAAAAAACTGCAAGATATATTTATTTTATTAAAATTCAATTTTTTTGTTTCCACATAGATACAATATATATAAGAAGATCATTTTTATAATAGTCATTACTAGGCCTGTTTAAAAATATATATTTTATCTCAATATGTCTCTCTCTATACTTTTCTCTTAAAGTTTATAGTTGTCCAGGAGCGAGTTTACTTTTTACAGCATTCCCGAAAATTTGCGCTCCAGCTTTATTCTCTTCATATCCTGGTACCACTTCTTTGCAGCGTGCTTCCCAAGATGCAACATGAGGGAATTGGGCAATATCGAAACCAACAGCCTAATTAATATTAAATAAAAAATTAATGAAGACCAATAATATTATTGATCCAGTATGATATAATAGTTTACTTGTATGCTTGACATAGAGGCCAGAATAGCGTTATCTGCTATTGTAAAGTTGTCTCCGGCCACCCACTTTGTTTTAGCAAGAAAACCATCTAAATATCCAAATGCTTCGTTTAGTTGGTCTTTTTTATCCTTTGAGACTGTAGTTTCACCCAAAAATAAAGCAGGAAACTAGGATACAAATTAGATTATAGGATATTTATGATCATATACCTCGAAATATAAACATACGGTTTATATATTAATTACGAATAGATCCAATAAATTGCATTTTGTTGAATATACTTACACAAATAGCTCGTATTCTAGGATACAAAACTCCAGCATCAAAGTAGAGTCTTTGATCAACAACTGCCTTTTCTTTAGCGGATTGAGGATACAATGAACTGTATTTTTCGCCCCCATGAGCTTGAACTAAGTAAGAAGCTATAGCCCGACTTTCCCAAAGTACAAATCCATTGTCATCTAATGTTGGGACACAATGTTGTGGATTGAGCTAAGAATATATTTTTAGACAGACTTAAAGTAGAGAAATGGAACTAAGACAAATGTGCTAAAAAATTAAATACGGTAGAACTCCAAATTATTATGAAATTTACCTTCAAAAATTCAGGTTTCAGTTGCTCCTTAGCAAACAGATTTACTTCTTTTATATCAACCTTAAGGTTTAGTGCTCTAGCAGTTAAAATTGCGGCCCTAGACGGAGCACTTGGTGGAAAATGATATAGGGTTAATGAACTCATCTTGCTATAGTCAAATAAAATAAAGACAATATATTAAACCAAAACAATCTTTAACCTATTATATTTATTAGGAACGCCAAAAAAGTATTACGACGTGTACTTGCGGGAGTGTCGGCAAACGTATTCAGGCAATTCTTGTTTGACTGGTTTTGTGATGGCTTTTCAAATTGATATGAATTTTAATGATCATTATCAATATTGTGCAATATCAACTTAACCTACACTAAATAATTATTTAATATTTTAACATCAATGGATTTTAGCCATCAATCATATGATTAAGCATAAAAATTCTTTATTTACTACTTTGTCAAAAACTAAATATATTACACTTTAAATATTTTACACATTTTTAATAGAGTCAATATAAGGTCTATAAGTTAATGTAAGCGTAAATTAAGTTATTATATTTCATTTATTTGGATAATTTGAATAAAAAATCTTAAATATTTTAATTATTTATATTTATATAGACTTTCAGGCATAGGGCTTTTAGCTGAAATATGGAACAAAGAAATTATCGGCATAAATTATATGTACTTCAAAACAACATAAAATAGAACAAATACAAATTGTTATTAACACCAAGGTAAATTGATTAAAAACAGTTCATTTAATTTTTCATTCAAGTTTATTTGCAAATTATAATAAATACTAATAATTTTATTTTCTATGAAGCTATGGATTTGGGTATCCCTTTAATATTCTATTAACTTGACGATGTGATAAATCTTTTTGTCCTGGTTTCATAATTCCTTTAATTCCTGCTCTTTTTCTAAGTATTTTTTATCCAGGGCAGCTTTATGGCATTTTTGAAAATTTGCTATTTCGTTTGCACAAATAGTTTGACTAAAATCATTGTCTTTGAAGCACGCAAAAAGGATGGACATTTCGTGGAGACAGCTCACAGATTTATTCTTGTCACCTTTTCCAGAAACTTTGTTCTTTAATTTTAAAGGTAAAATTTCTTGGAAGGGAATGGGCTCTGTTTGAGGAGCCCTAGCTCCTTTCATGGCCATCGCTAAATTTGTAATCCTCATCTGGAAAATAGATCGTAATAGTGATAATGGTAATAATCGTATAATTTTTCATACTAACCTTTTTTGAATAAATATAGAAATTAAAATAATTATTATGTGTAATTTGTAGGTTATATCATATATTTACATCATAAGCTCTGACAGCTCAGTAATTGCTACAGACGTTATCGATTTATTCGCGATCACGAGTAGAACAACTTTTTGACTTTATTTCAGTTATCGTTGCAGTTTTAAAAAATAAAATACGAAATTACTATTTTCTTTGAGTATTATTTATTTTTGGCGGCTACTGATGTAAATAGTCCAATTATTAAAAAAATGTGTGACCGGTTATATATTTGTTTGCGTATTTTAAATACTGAACCATAAGAAAATTATATTTTATCTTTCAAATGATAGGGTAAATTAGATCATTAGAAAATAGATATACCATTGCCTTTATGCATAAAGTCTTCAAAATTATATTGACTTACTGGGCTTTGTGTATGACCATGACATGTTTCAGTTTCATTTTTAGCAGGTCAATAGTTGCTAAGCAACAAAAAACTTTACAGTCGAGCGTAAAATTTCTCTTGAAAGGTATTTAAATTAATTCATTTAATTTAAATTTGGTTTGTATATACGTGTTAAAATAAATCTATGAATCATGGAAAATTCAAATGAATCAAATTCATTTTATAAACTATCCCAGATGTTGCATGAAGAACGCGGTCGAAATTTTACTCTAAAAAGAGAATTGAGTACAATGAAAGTTAATTTATATCAAGAAAGAATTCGAGTTCAACAACTGCAAATAGAAAAAGCAAGATGTATGAGAGAGCATAAGGCTTATCTTAAAGCTCCAAGTTATTCATCTTACAGGGAAGGTATGGATGAAAGTTATTCGTGCTCGAACTACTCTCAAGACAAAGAAAATTTGGTATGTTGGAACACTATGAAAATTTAATTAAAAAGCTTCAAGATCAGATAGAAGTATTACTCAAAGAACAAGATACGTGTTTGGATAATTTCTTGGACGACTTTGATCGATGCCAAATGCATATTGCGGCACTTAATGAAGAAATTCAATCCCTTGAAAACTGCTGCGAAGAAAGCTCAGCTGCGTTAAACATTTATGTCGACAATTTAATGTCTTTAAAAAAAGAAAATAAATGTTTATTGAAACTCCAGAACAAATCCGAAACCATTAAAAAGACAAATGCTGCTACAAAATCTAAAAACAGATTTTTATGCAGCGAAAATGAGTACTTTAAAACACAAATTAATACCATGTCCAAAACAATAGCAAATTTGAAAATCCAGAGGGAGCATTTGTTACGTGAATTACGACAAGCAAAATCAACTTTAGTGGAAAATAAAGAAGTTTTATACCAAAAAATACACAAATTAACTAGAGAATTATGCTCTTTACGGTATAAAACTATCGGCGTTAAGTGTGGAGATTTTACTACCAGAAACTTTCAATGTATATGTCAAAAATGTAATAGTTGAACAGTTTTAATGCAATATAGATACATATGTAGCATATTATGATATCTATGAACTATGTATATTATAAAAATTATAATAATGTTAAAACAAATATAAGTAAAATATATATTATGCTAAAATAGTTATGCGATTTTATATAGATATATACAATCTGCTGAAATACGTCTTCAATATATTCAATTTAATTATTATATTTAATTAAATTAAACACAATTGCTATAAATCATTATTTAATTTTAGTGAATAAATTATCAATAATTTTCTGTAATAGGCTTAGCATAATGAAATAATTATATTGATATAAAATAGTCCGGACCAAAGATTCTTACGATTTTTCGATAAAATCGTAAGAGTCTTAAGAAAATTAAGATAAAAATATGTAAAACATTTCAACCATGGTTTAAACAGGTACATGCATGTATGTTCCTATATTTTAAAATTTGTATAAAGTTACATTAGTATTACTCTAATGCAGAAGACTGCAGAAGACAATCGCTCGCCCAACGGGGAATGTTAAACAAACGTATTGTTCCATTGTTAGTCTTGTTGACAAAATTTTTATTTTGTTTAAATAATTTGAGATTTACAAAGTCTATTGTGTTTGAGATCAAAAGTACGTTATTAAAGTTATTAATATAAATGCAGTAGATAATTGTTCGCCTAACGGCCAACACATTGCTTTAGTCTCGTTGACAAAATTTCGTTATTCATCGAACTCCATATAATTTATTCTATCTATATAATTTATAATTTACTGAGTGTATTGTGTTCAAAATCTCTTTATGCGTAATTCAGATAAATATAAATATTTAAAGTTAAAGTTTTGTTAATAAACTCAACTCTATCAAGAAGAGATATCGATATATCGTTCGATATCTTTTTTTTTTATTGTTGGCACCTTTCAACGCTCACTTCAAACGTATTTACGTGATTTGAGTAGTTTGCCAACTTTACAATAATAGTTATTGTTTTATTTGAAGCAGAAATGTCAAAATGGCGTCTTCGCAAGACGCTTGGTATTTGTCATTATTGGGATTAGCTGAACATTTTCGAACATCTAATCCACCTCATATAAAACATTGCATACAGTGTTTGCAGGCCGTGTTTTTTTATACGCCACCTCCGAGAGTCGAAGCTAGGACCCATTTACAATTAGCAAATATACTCTTAACTCATACAAAAAATATAGATTTAGCAAAAACACACTTAGAACAATCGGTGAGTGTGTAGGAATAACTAGTGTTATCACCGTAGATATATTTGAGATGCGAAAACATCAAAATCATAAGTTTTTTAACATTTTTTTTACTAAACATGTATTTTATGTGTATGATGACACCTAGTTAAATCTCATGGATTAATTAAATTAATTCAATATAAATATTTAATATTAATTGATATTGAATGTTTACTTTCAGTGGAGGTTGTCCCAAAGTATTACTGGCTTTGATGATGTTAAACATGAAGCTGCAAGTTTGTTAGCTGAGTTGTTTGAACAACAAAATCAATCATCGCAATCTAAACAAATTTTGAGAAATGCTATAGAATTATCACATCAAAGTGTTTACTGGCATTGCCGATTAATATTTCAATTGGCCGTAAGTTATTGAAGTGTATTATTTTAATGTTACTTTAGTGCATTTATATTCATTATATAATATAGCTTATGGACTAATGGAAAGTTGTGTATATATAAATTATAATAATACTTACATTTTTGAATCATGGATCTTTACTATAACTGAATATTTAAATAAAAATGACATATGTTTACAGCAAATACATGCAAGAGAAAAAGAATATGTCATCGCTTGTGCATTATTGGGTGCTGGGGTGGACTTCGCACATATGTCTAATGCCCACTACACAAAAGTGTTATTTCTACTTAGTAAAGCAATGGTAATATCAAATATATATATATATATATATATATATATATATATAATTACAAATAATTATATTTCAGTTATTACTCGTTGATAAAAAATTACAAGACGTGATACCGGTGCTCACTCAAGCTGGAACGCTTGTTGATACATGGACGCAAAGCCCTCACCAAAAAGAATATTTAAAAATATACTACTTAGTTCTGCAGGTAAATTAGATTTTAAACAAACCTTTCAATATGTATAATATCTAAAGATTGTAATATAATATTCATTGTTAATCTAGGTGTGCCACTTCTTAATGTCTGGTCAGGTTAAAAGTGTTAAACCTTACCTGAAACAATTACAACAATCCATTCAAACAATTATTGCTCCTACTTGGCCAAGTGATGAAGGTATTTTCTGATTGATAAATCAAATTGTAGATTATCTTAAATATATATTTTTTTCAATTTATTTCAATTAGTTATCAGTGGGAATAATATGGGAGATATGTTTCTATGGATGCCAAAAGATCATCTTTATGTCTTAGTATATTTAGTTACTGTAATGCATTCGATGGAGGCTGGTTATATGGATAAAGCCTTAAAATATACAGAGAAAGCTCTTGCCCAAATAGAGAAGTTAAAAAGTAAATATTATATCCATTATTTTCTATCACATTTCATTCCCAAAATTTTATCATAATTTTTGCATTTTTCTTTTATAGTTGCTGACAATAAACCAATTCTCTCTATATTCCAAGTAATGCTTTTAGAGCACATTGTAATGTGTAGATTGGTAATGGGCAATAAGCAATTGGCCTTACAGGTAAAGTACTCATGTTGTCAATTGTAATGTGTTTTAATGTTTTTATAAAACTTGATCTACATCTTTTGCAGGAGATTGCCCAGGCTGCTGAACTTTGTCGTCTTAATCCAACATTACAAGTATCACATGGGCCGCAATTACACACACTATTAGGGCTTTATGCAATGACAATGAACTGCTTGGAAGAAGCTGAGATGCAGTTTACTGTTGCAATACAGGTAAACAATATTAACTTAATTTCTTATTTGCTCAAATTATATGCACATTTTATTGATTGCTGTTTATTGCAGACATCACAAGAACGTGAACTGTGGACATTTGCCAATTTGAATTTGGCAATTGTGTATCTACGTGGTAAGAGAGATTCAAGACTGTCAAGCATATTAGATAGCATAAATCCCGATAATCTTCCATCTCATTCACATTCATTGAAAGCTGCTGCATTTTATGTTCAAGGGTTACAAGCATTTTTTCAAGCTAAATATAACGATGCAAAGTAAGCTAAAGGATTTTTTTTTTAAATTTTTCTTTAATATATATATATATATATATATATATATATATATGTGTGTGTGTGTGTAATTTGTAGATATTTATAAATGTTATTAATCTATGCTAACTTAGAAGTCAAATGTTTATTCTTGTGTTTGTTTATTTTAGACGATATCTTAGAGAAACATTAAAAATGGCAAATGCCGAAGATTTAAATCGGTTGACATCCTGTTCCCTAGTTCTTTTAGGCCATATATTTTTATCACTTAATAATTCAAGAGAAAGTTTAAATATGGTTTCTCCTGCAATGCAGCTTGCTAGTAAGATACCAGATGTTTATGTGCAATTATGGGCATCAGCAATTCAAAAAGGTGAATAAGTTTTTATATATATATATATATATATATATATAAATTAAAATCATTAATTTAATTATGTTAAGTCATCTAATTCTTGCTAGCAAAAATCCATTTTCAAATTATTTATATATTTAAAAAAAAATTAGTGAAACAATTAAATAAGAGATTAATTTTCTTATTTATACAAACTCACTTTTATTTATGCTTCATTCATGCAAGCTCATGTAATTTTTTATGTAATTTTTTGTAATTGTTATTAACACATACTAATAATTATTTTTCTGCAGATCTATACAGGATATGTAATGATCGAGCACGTGAACAAGAAGCTTATAATATGCACAGAAACTTTTCTCAAATGTTGCTCAAGATCACTTTCTTTCATCTCAAATACCAGAACATACAATTCTTATAAATTGGACTCAAGGTAACATTCCAGCAACTAACATGTGCTCAACTGGTGTCTCAGGAGATGTTAGCAATGCAATAATGCCAAATACAGTTAATACAACAGCTACCAGCTCAGAAATACATCAAGTACCTTCTAGTTCCATGTGTTTGATGAATAATCAAAATACATATTAATAATAACAATAATAATAATAGCCGAAAGAAGTGGAATTTGGTGAGTTTTATGTTTTTAATTTATATCTATATTTCTTTTTTATTTTATTCAAATTATTGCTTGATCAATTTTTAATAAGGTAATATTTGTCCAAATGTCATTGAAAGAAATTTTAAATTGTTTTAAAATATAATTTGAATTTTATCTTATGGTTCTAACTTTCAGTGATGAATTTTAATTTTATTTAATTGCTATATCCAATTAAATAAAATTAAAATTTTTATTTAATTGCAAAGTTTTATTATTGTATTTCATGTGATTACTTGATGGCAATGTTAATGGAAACACACTCTATCATACTTCTGTTCTCATAAATATTAATTATTCACCATCAATAATTTTTTGCCATCAAATATCAAGAACCTCTATGTCATGATTTATATTCTTGAAAATTACTGGATATATTTTACAATGAGGAGTTCATTAAATAGGTTGTTTTACAATTGAGCTTGGCAAATAAACATTTTTACAAGTATATTTTAAAATAAAATTAGATAACTAAATTTTTTAGATAAAAGTGATCTTATCACTTATTAAATTCATTATTATTTGGTAAGGAGTGCCTAGATATTTAATTATACTGATGCATTCATATCGTACAAAATGTCATGCCACATGAATATTGATAGTTGTTTTATTTTGTAATTCAACTTATGCTCTCTATTTTAATTTTCACAGCGAGGCCTTATTAATCAAACAAAATCTATTAGCAACTAACGAAGTAAACATTCAATAGCAACAATCGAGAGCTTGTTGCAATGTAAATAAATACGTCGTTATTGAATTATTTGGAAAGAATTATACTATTGTTTACCTAAATTCTAATTTTGATAATAGTTAATTAAAGTATTGCTGTGTCAGTCAAATATTTTTGGCATCAAACAGGGAAAAAAGGTAGATTCTTAAATTGTTAACGTAATATTCTCAGTATTTTGCTGATACCAGCAGCTGTATGTTGCATATTAATTAATATTTTGTAACAGTGAATATTTAGAATTTCATACAGATTTTTCGGCGCAGCTTATTTATATAAGTGATGATAATTAAATTAAATTAAATGAATTTCAACGAATAAAATTTACAATTTTACATCACAACTAATAAACAGCAAATATGCAAATGCATAACATGATTTTGTATTGTTTAATTATATAGGTATATATAATAAGAGTGCAATTTTAATAGCGAATTTGAGCTTCGAATAAATATATCTTTAGAATATTTTATGCATGTATGAGGATATCAATGAGTTGTTTCACAAAATGTGAATGGGCATTAGCAATTGCATAAAAATTACTACTTATTGTAAATGTATTAGTATTTTATTTATGTAAGCACATATAATTTTTCGCCTCTTCTGTTTATATAATATCCAGTAAAAATATTTTATGACAATTTTAAGAGCACCAATTTAACGGTGAATGTCTGATTTTTATTAGTTAAATTCATTTTTTACCAAGTAATTTATAGTTATATTTTTACGAGATATTTCCATATAACATGTGGAAAAGATTTTATTTATTCATTTTATAAACATTTAATGTTACATTTATTAGTTTTAATAAAGTGGTCAGAGATTGTACAAGAATTATAGAAATATCCTCAGAGTATAGTTTTTTATGGTTATATAGGTAATGTGCTTGTATGAATGATACGTCTTCAAGAATTGCATATAATTAAATTAACAGACTTTGAAGGATGCATTTACAACTAAAATTATAAATTTGGTTTAGTAGGATTTGTTTCTTCTGACTAATTGTCATTCATTATTTTAATTTATTCATTTTAGTATTTTACCTACTAAGAACTAAAATAATTTTATAATAAAGTTTTAATTTAGTTTAAGTTTTAATTTCGGGTCTTCTTTAATATTTCGTAAAATATAATATATTCCAGTTTTTTTTTTTATTAAGTCCAATGAATAAGAAAAAAACAAAATAATAATTCTCTCATTAACAATTCATGTCTTGTTGTTAAATGTAAGGTTTATATTTTACAAAAGTCATGTTTATATATTTCTAATAAGAATTTTGTTTTATGAAAATATAGATGTATATTGTAAATATGTATTAGATTAGTTTATGCAAAAATCGCTATTGTAAATAGTTAAGAAACAAGTGAATTAGTCATTGTGGGAGTACACCCAAATATGAATATATATTATTTTTATAAAAAAGCGATATATTAAACTTAGATTAATTCATCTATATATAAAAAGTTGAAATAATACGACGAATTTTTAATGGTATAAGAAATTCTGTTTGTATAATTAGTTAATTCCAGAAATCTCGAGAAATATATATGTAAAATAATTGAGAGCTTTGTTTTAATGAAACGAACATCATATAACATTTCAGTTTTCTGAAAAGTGATTGAGTTATAGAAATAAAAGTTTTGATAAATGGCCGCCTTTTTAGGACATATGGATGTAAAATTACAATGGATGTAAAATTACTACAATGTTTGTAAACAATACTACAATGGGTGTAAAATTACTACAATGTTTGTAAACAATATTACAATGGGTGTAAAAATACTACAATGTTTGTAAAAATACTGCAATGGGTGTGAAATTACTACAATGTTTGTAAACAATACTACAATGGGTGTAAAATTACTACAATGTGAGTAAACAATACTACAATGGGTGTAAAAATACTACATTGTTTGTAAAAATACTACAATGGGTGGGAAATTACTACAATGTTTGTAAACAATACTACAATGGGTATAAAATTACTACAATGTTTGTAAAAATACTGCAATGGGTGTGAAATTACTACAATGTTTGTAAACAATACTACAATGGGTGTAAAATTACTACAATGTGAGTAAACAATACTACAATGGGTGTAAAAATACTACAATGTTTGTAAAACTACTACAATGGGTGTGAAATTACTACAATATTTGTAAACAATACTACAATGGGTGTAAATTTACTACAATGTTTGTAAAAATACTACAATGGGTGTAAAATTACTACAATGTTTGTAAAAATACTACAAAGGGTGTAAAATTACTACAATGTTTGTAAACAATACTACAATGGGTGTAAAAATACTACAATGCTTGTAAAAATACTACAATGGGTGTAAAATTACTACAATGTTTGTATCCGAACACACACACATACCATTTTTTCTCATATAAGCCAAATTGTTCAGAAACCTCTGAAACGTAAAGATATTACTCACCTAGTTTATATAATTTTTTTAATATGATCATATTAAAAAAGCGAGCTTAAATCCAATTTTACAAAGTGTTATAACGTTTGCTTAGAATTAATTGTGCAGTAAACTTTAGATTTTGTTCTGTTTGTAGTACTTGCGTATTATATTTTTTATATTTATAATGAAGGTACTTGAAGATTTTTTTTCATAAGTATTTAGGGGGCGTCCATTAATCACGTGAGGCTTTTAGGGAGAGAGGGGATTTGACAAAAAATCACAAAATATTACGTGGAAGAGGCAGGGATATAGTAAGATATCACCTGTATTTATTTTTTAACTAATTTTTTAAAAGAAGTTCAAACATTTTACAATATTTTCTCGTAACTAAAAATACACGCGATGTTTAGTTGGGGAGGGGGGTTAATTTCGAATATCACCATGTATCACCAAGGGGGAGGGGGGTCCAAAAATCCTTAAAAACTCGCTCAGGTGGTTAATGGACGCCCCCTTATTATTATAAATTTCTCAATTATGCGCTCTACGCTTTAATTTGGTTTCTCTAATTAGGCGAGTTTAATTAAAAACCAAAATTTAACACATGAATAATATTATTAGACATCAATATTTAGTTACACTTTTTTGTTTTTACCAAATATCATAGCACACTTTATATTGGAGCTAAATAGCACTTACTAATTCTAATTGGAGCTGAATAGCCCCAGTGCTAATTCTAACTGGAACTAAATGGCCCCAACACTAATTCTAATTGGAGCTAAATAGCCTCAGTACTGATTCTAATTAGAGTTAAATAGCCCCAATATTAATTCTAACTGGAACTAAATAGCCGCAGTACTAATTCTAATTGGAGCTAAATGGCCCCAGTACTAATTCTAACTGGAGCTATATAGCCCCAGTACTAATTTTAACTGGAGCTATATAGCTCCAGTACTAATTCTAACTGGAGCTAAATAACCCCAGTACTATTTCTAACTGGAGTTAAATAGCCTCAGTACTGATTCTAATTAGAGTTAAATAGCCCCAGTACGAATTCTAACTGGAACTAAATAGCCCCAGTACTAATTCTAATTGGAGCTAAATAACCCCAGTACTAATTCTAATTGGAGCTAAAAAAGGATTAAATTCAGAATTTTTATATTAGTACTGGAGCTATATAGCTCCAGTACTAATTCTAACTGGAGCTAAATAACCCCAGTACTAATTCTAACTGGAGCTAAATAGCCTCAGTACTGATTCTAATTAGAGTTAAATAGCACCAGTACGAATTCTAACTGGAACTAAATAGCCCCAGTACTAATTCTAATTGGAGCCAAATAGCCCGAGTACTAATTCTTGAAGTACTAAAAAAGGATTAAATACAGAATTTTTATGTTGGTAGCGTTAATGACATAGGAAACGCGTAGCAAGTTCACTTGTATCCTACTTCACTACTGAATTATATCTTATCAAAAATTGTTAATTTCTTTAAAATTCAACACAACACCTTGTTTCCCTTCCACTTCTTTCTTCCTATGGAAGAACACATTTCTAGCACCAATTCAGTTAACGTTAAGAACCCGCGCCGAGAGGTCATTGCTCACCTGAGTGGTATGCAGTGACGTATTATTTGTAAACAAATAAAAGGAAGAACTTTTATTAATAAAATTTATTAACCCAATTCTTAATATTATGTGATTTAGTGATATTTTAAGTGGCATTTGGCAAACGTTACAAATAAAATTGTTCTGGTTTCTTGGACATTCATTGGTATGTACTCTTTTTATATTATTCATATATATTTTATATACACTTGTCGGAATATTTTGACATGAGGTATTCGGTTTTATTGTCATCTATTTTTTTCTTCCAAAAATCATAACTTGATTGATTACGGACTTTCCAAGGAAGCTTATTTTCGTCAGAAAAACCGATTTGATAATTTCATGTTTTCTCAATGTTTCAAGTCATTTTAAATTGTTTAACACTAAAATTGAAAAAGTAAATATGTGTATGACTATGTATAAGAGAGCCAAAATTTGACATTTCCACAACATTTTTGCTTACATTTTTGGAAAAAAAAACATAATTTTCTTGCATTATTTACTTCCTTAAGAAGTTTGTTTGCGTCAAGAAAACCGATTTGCTAATTTTAATTTAAAGTCATTCTCAACTGTTTGACATAGAAATTAGAAAAAATATGTATGTGCGTGACCATATCATATACATATTAATTAATAACGCAAGCTAATTAAGATTTTTTTGAAAAAAAAATGTAGGTAAAAATGTTGTAGAAAGGTCAAATTTTGGCTCACATATACAGAAAATGTAATCCAGAATTTGATTTTTTTACAACATTTGCAATATATCCTAAACAGATTTTAAAAATTCAAAAACTTAATGACATATATTAAGATATCAGTTGGGGAATGTGCTAATTAGTTTTTGGTAAAATAGGCCGGGCCATTTCTTCGCAATTATTTGTGGATATTTTGTTAATGATCTTAACGAACATCCTAAAATATTATAGACCCACGAAATGTCGTTTATTTATAAAAAAATTTATATCATGTCATTTTCTTATCAATATATGCTATATATGTTCTAAGCGCGTTTTTGTGCACATTAAAAGTTTGTTTGGAAGATATCAATCGGAAAAGGCATTGATTAGTTTTTAGTGAAATTTTATTTTTGAAATAAACAGTTGAAACGTTAATCGTTCTAAAATTGCTGCAACTTAGTCCAAATTGATTGAGTCTATTACATGAAAGTTCATGCAACTTGCCTAATGCAAAATTCTACTTACGCCTAGTTTTGATTTACATCTACTTTTGGTTCAATTTCTCAACCTTTCACGATATTTTCTAAGATTTTTTTATCGATGCAGAATTGACCATTTTACTAAAGTCTAATAATTTTACTTCCCGGTTTGGCCGGGACATTCCTGGATTTCCACCTTGTGTCCCGGGTTTTTCTAAAAGCAATATTTGTCCCGAATTTTATTCTTTTGTCCCAGATTATCCCGCTTTTTTGAAAATTAATAAGTAAATTAACAAAAATTATGAAAAAAAATGAAAAAATGCAATTTTTTACAAATGAATCTTAAAGAAAATTGTACAGAATTATATGCGAGGCCCAAAAGCAAAAAAACATGAATCATATATAAAAAAATTACATATAGTCAAATAATAGAGTTCTTACTCAA